CCATCATGCAGGGCACCGGCGAGGAGGTGAGGCTGAGGACTCATGGCCAAGGGATTGGGGTGAGGGGGTGGGCACTGCCTTGCCCCTTGCTGTCCATGGGGCTGGGATGGGGTTGGGAGAGCCCCCACAGCATCGCCCCAGCCTGGGCCATGCGGATCACAGCTGCTATCCACAGCTCTTCGACCACATCGTCAACTGCATCATGGTCTTCCAGCAGAAGCATGACCTGATGCAGCAGGTCCTGCCTCTTGGCTTCACCTTCTCCTTTCCCTGCCAACAGCTGGGCCTGGATAAGGTGAGGGGGTGACTCCAGCCCCAAGGGGATGGGAAGGACCCTGGGAAGCAGTGCGAGGCAGCTGCCTGGCCTCTGCTGCTGCCTCTCTTGCAGGCAGTGCTGCTGAGCTGGGCCAAAGGCTTCAGCGCCTCAGGCTGTGTGGGGCAGGACGTGGTTCACCTGCTGCAGGAGGCTGCGCAGCGCAAACAGGTAGGGAACAGCTGGTGTAGGGACTCATAGGGATTGGTGGCCCATCCCTGGCCTCAGGGTGCACTCAGGACTGGCTGGGTGCCACTAAGCTGCATGTGTCCCCATCACCTGTTTGGCAGCTCTCTAGTCTGAAGGTGGTGGCTGTGGTCAACGACACAGTGGGAACCATGATGTCCTGTGGCCATGATGACCCCAAATGTGAAATTGGCCTCATTGTGGGTGAGAAGCACCTCTGCCTCCAGGAGGACTCCCATCCCCTCGCTACCACCCCAGCCCATGTGGTGTGGCCACGTGCCTCTGCCAGAACTGTGGTGAGGGTGACACCAGCATGGGGCCCACAGGGACAGGGACCAACACCTGCTACATGGAGGAGATGCAGAACGTGGGCACCGTGGAGGGAGATCAGGGCTGCATGTGCATCAACATGGAGTGGGGAGCCTTTGGGGACAATGGCTGCCTGGACCACATCTTCACCAACTTTGACAGGCTGGTGGACAAGAAAACCATCAACCCGGGCAAGCAGAGGTGGGCGAGGGCCCAGGGGCAGAGACGGGGCTGGGAGGGGGTGGCTGTGCCCAGCTGAGGCTGCGCCTGGGGTAGGTTCGAGAAGCTCATCAGTGGCACGTACCTGGGCGAGATCATGCGGCACATCCTGCTGGCACTGGTGGAGAGACAACTCCTGTTCTGTGGCAAGTCCAGCCCTAAGCTTCAGACCAGGGACACCTTCCAGACCAAGTTCCTCTCTACCACTGAGATGTGAGTGCTGGACTTTGGTGG